ACAGGAGAAACACAAAAACAGATTCATGAAGAGAGACGCCTGTTTTCAGTTGAGTTACAGTCCTGGACGTTCTCCTTCTCTGAAGCAGCTTTGAGATGAACACTGACGCCGGGGGCTCGCGGCGCTGGATAAGAATTTATAAAGCTGTTGCTGCCGGGCTCTGCTGTAGCACAATGCCCAACTTTCATGTTACAGGATTAGGAGGGATCAGTTTTCTGGATCAATAGGATTATAGCTGTCGTTAACCCCTCGGAGATGAAAGCATCGCAACCTACGGAGAAAACAAGGGGATGTGCGAATTGAGAAATGTGTTGCAGGGTGAGAGGAGGACAACTTCTTTGCACATCAGAAACAAACAGTTATTTCAAGCAGGAATAATCTGTACTTGGACTAAAACTAAACTGCCCGTGGCACAAAATTAACAAAAATGCAAAGAAAGCTCTTTTCAAGAGCCCAAATAGAAAAATCTCTCTGCGTAATTGGCCCTGCCTTTCTCGTCTCTCTGCCACTGGAGAGGGAGACGTGCTGGAAGACGAGAACGACGTCTTCTCGACCTGCACAATAATTGGCTACTTTTCAGGGGTGCATGCTCAAGTCGATACCTCCCGTCAAATCCACTCTCTGCTGCTTTCAGCCCATCACGTCCGCTGAGGGTGCGGCTGTTAAAACAGCTTGCAGATCCATCACACAGAGAACTGTGCAGTGTGTGACGACCTGAATTTGTTCTCTGTGGACTAAATACAGTAGAAGAAAGCAAAGAGGTCGTCTTTCAATGTGCTGTCGGTATGCTGTCATTAAAGCATCTATTCAAGAGATGCAGCACAATTAAATGTGTTGTTTGAGCCGAAAACTCAATTATACATCTGTTCTTTTGATGAAATACACTCATTTAACATCGCATTTATTATTAAAAAAGTGTTTCAAACAGTCTTGGACCTTGCAGGGCCAATCTGATGTACAGTCAACAGACCCTAATCAAAAGTGGGCGCTCCCCCCGGCACCAGCGGTCACTTGTTGAGTGAGAATCTGGAAAGTCACACTCATTTTCAACTAATCCTCTGTGCTCCGAGAACCATGGTCTGGGCCGTCAGGAAGCCCATACGCCATTTCTGCCGCCTACGTGTGTGTGCTACTGCTGGAGTCGTGCACAAAGCTCGTATGTAGTATATGGGTATGCACAGCATTCTAAAGCCAAAACTTTAATATTTCCCTTTAATATTTGATGCTTCTTTAAGTAAATGTGTATTTCTGCCTTGAATGTGGAGTACTTGTGCAAATATATCCTCATGCACGGTATGTGTAAGCCTTCAGAGCTCTCACACAGAAACAGAAGACTACTCTTGCCCAGATGTGTTTGATTTATGTGTGTGTGCGTGAGTGAGCGGCTGATCGCTGCTCCCCGTCATCTCTCCGTGCTCCATGGCACCAGATGGATCCTCTGGAAATAGCCGGGGATGAAATTAAGAACAACAGCTGTCAAATCAGCCAGCGAAGTGAGCGAGGAGACAAAGAGGAAGAAGAGAGCGAAAAAGGAAAGAGAAGAAAAGACATCTGTACAAATTCATGCAGCTGCACCTCGCGCAGGTAAATGCGGATTGACATGCAGCGAAAAGGCTCATTAGGAAATTTCATGGGAGTCGTGAAGTGATTATCCTAAAGCTGTCAGCTGCAAACAGCATGTCAAAAAGCCACCCAGGCACTTCCCCCTCCAGGTGGTCCATGCGTTGCTGCTGTGCAGGGAGGGGGGGGGGAGTTGTTAGAAACAAAAACACACATCAAACATCAACTATTTCAGCACTGGAGTGTGAATGAGTCCTTCTCCTCCTCCTCATATCTCACTGTCTGTACACTACAGCCAATAAGGGGTGCGAATGAATCAACGTGTCTCCTCCCCCCCGACATTACACTCTGAGCGGTTCCATCAACACAAATCATTTCTAGTGCATTTTAATCTGGCGCAGCAGGTTTGTTTGTGTGCACTCGATACGTGGGCCAGGCGGCGCGGCCACATCCTGGTCACTTGTCATATTGATTCCACGAGGCAAGATAAGGGGGGTGTTATCTGAAATTAACGTTACTATAGAGGAAGACAACACAAGAATCCATAAAACATGGACAAAATGATCCTTTGTCTTCTTCTTGAGCCCTCAGCACAACTTAATGTTAATATTTATACACTCACGGTTCAGACCAGATGGTTTTTAGTCACGGTTGGGATTATTTTAAAGGGAGAGACAGATAGAAGTTTGTCTACTCCTTAAAAAACTTTTATGACAAGGAACTTTTACAATATTCCAGGTGTTCGATGTTTAATAAAGTTTTAAACAAGCCCCCCAATATAATATCTTACCTAACTCCCAAAGAATTAGATTCGTGCATGGCTGCCATCGTCCTCCCACATAGCAGAAACTGTTTTGGCCACGATTTGGCAATAGACCATCCCTTGACTATGGCAGGCCTAGAGAATTAACACTGATGCTATAACCAACCACCTCATCATGAGCACAATAAAGACCATAGCTGTTATATAACGTAAATTCCATTTAAATGGGAATTATCTCAGGCACACAATGAAATTACCTTGACTGTGTGAATGGAGCCTTCATTAAAAACGTCCCGTGGGAGCAGTGGAGCCATCAGCCTAAATTCCACCGACTCAGATTCCAAGTTTAGCAGATGTCCTATCGGCACCAATTAATTGGTCGACCTTTAACTCGGAGGTTATAAACATCTGCAGTCTATTATTTTGAAAAGATATAAAAACTACAGACATGATTCCAAAATGTATAAATATCGTCCAATTGGAGGTTCGTCCAATACAAATACAACATAGAGTACATGGAAGATGTGGGGAGTAAAATTAGACGTTTAATTTTCTAATGAGCTCAAAGAGCCAAAATAAAAGCAGGATCTTATCTGTGAGAGGCTTTTTTTATCTTGAAGCTTTTTCAAATTAACATATTTGCTCCTCCTGCCTGTGATCACATGTGCTATTGGGTTCAACCTGACTGCTGCCTTTTCAACCACTAAACGTTAAGATGTTGATTTGTGCGGTATCTGTGATTCTGTTTTTTTTTTAATACACGCTATACGTTCAATTGAGAAATTTAAAAGATAAATACAATATTCAATACAGTCCAAGTTAGAGATTATTCAGAGTATCAGAATGTGGAATAACTCCAAAAGGAAAATCTGGAAAATGATCTCAAAGTACATTAGGATTTATTTTAGCCTTTGACAGTTTATCTAAAATACTTTTACTTCCAGGAGCGATTGCACTGCAGTTTTCTCTGCACAATATTTCTCCAGGATGAGACGGAGACATGTCTCATGACACCTGGAGACGACTTCTCTCTGCAGCAGGTTTTCTTTTCACGGGTCACCGCTCTTGACGGCTTGTCGAGCTCAAGCCGACCACTGACGGGACGCAGGAAGTGACAAGCCGGACTCGGGTAGAAGTGAGAATGAGGGTGTTTCCCCCTGGACCAGGTTTCAGATCTGCCGTGTGTCAGCACTTTGGGTTTCCAATTAAAGAGGAACGCAACAAGACAGCTGACAAGATGGAGACAACTTACTCCTTCTGCACACTGGAGAATTATCAGATCGTTTTAAAATGTGGAAGGCCACAGACATAACAACAGATGAAACTGATTTTTAATATTTCTATTTGTATTGCTTCAATATGCTGTATGCAGCCGTGGTTCTTTTCTGAATACAAATACGCAACATCTGGCTGGTGACGCTTCGAATGGCTGTTCAATGCAGTTTGAATGTTTGAGTCTGATCTAACTTTCAATAGGAAATTTCTCCAAACCCTCAAATAAAAACGTTTATCGCTGCCTTTATGGTATTATTTATTTCTATAGGCTTTTTATGGACACACACACGTTCCTGAACCTGCGTCACTCACACAGCGTTTTAATTTATGGACCAGAAAATCTCCCTGGGTGCTCCCCCGACACTTTATTATAGCCCCCTAATGTATTCCGTTAGTAGTCACGACAGAATCTTCATTTTGATGAAACGACATTAAATGACAGACAGGCGACGCTGTTTGGATTCCGGCAGGTTGTAAAACCTGCTATAATCTCTTAGGAGTTAAGTGCGTTAATTTCTGGGAAACGTGTGTTTTAACGGCGACATAAGCTCGAGCGGAATAGGACCCAGCCAAAGTTCTCAATATGCAAAACGGCATCCAATATCTGTGTCCTGTAATGAGCTGCTGCCCATATTTCCTCCAGAATATTGTGGGTGATGAATGGATAGAGAAAAGCAATTGTGAAGGGAACGATTGTTTAGGCACTGTGGTGTGTGTGCGTCTGTGTGTGTGTGTTTTGTATGCAGCATCGGACAGTGGCTGAGGGGAATGATTAGCGGCAACATCTTGTGCCAGGCAACTTCTTAGCTCTGCTGATTTTCACACAGCGATCTGTATTCATTTATGCATCGAGCGAGCGTGGAGGATGAGTGGTGCAAAACAGAATATTTTTCTTCATGGGGTCTCTGTTTCTCTGTCAGTGTTCAGCCTCGCCGGCGCCATCGCTCTCTCGCCCGGCCCCTACGTCTCTATTCCTTTTGCTGTACCACTTTGATATCGTAAGGAAAAACAACATCCTCGTATTGACATTCATTCATGTTCGATTCTGGATTTAAGGACTGTAAATATTTATTAACGACTCTAACTCAGAGTAGGATACTGTTCTTTGCTTTGGAAAAGGAAAATACACCATTTTTTGTTGACACATTTTCTCTACAGTTGTGCCTACTTGTTAATGTGTCACGTGGGTTTCAGGAAAATATCTAATTATCCCATTCTGAAATGTAAAAATGTATTTTCTATAAATCTAGAGTAGCCCGTAAACCAAGATATGTTCCAAGTTATCTCTGGGACAGGAACCAGATGTCAAATAAATATTTCATTTTAGGTTTTTCTTATCACACTGATGTTTGTTGAAGTGGTTGGATAAAAACAAGGTGAGTGACAGCTGAGAATGACTTACGATTGGTGCATCAGCAGGACCTCACTACCGCGGCTCCATCCCCGATCGCTACTGCAGAGACTCCGGCTCCAAATGGGGAAGATGGCAGCGTTTGTATCCAGGATATCTTGGCTTCATTTCTGGGTAGTGGGAGGAGGTGGAGACACATTGTTATCTAATCTCTCAAAGTCAGAAAAATGTAAATTAAACTATTGTGATTTCTACTTTGACTTTAGTCCTGTTGTTTCTCATTAGGAACATTTCCTGGTGCCCATGTGCAGCTGTGACACCTCAAATAAAAAACATGTGCAGCTCCAGGAGAGCAGCTGCAGCGCTTCCACAGCCCACAAGTGTAAAACCTGTGAAGTCAATCAAATGGACCTGCTCCACTGTAGAGCTGCTGCTACGCCGCCCACATTTCCGGAACCAACAGTCATCATGGCCCTGGCACACACCTTAATGCTCGCTCACTGCCACATTTCTCATGGAAACATTTGCAGCTGAATCCGTCGCCCATTATGCATTTGAGAAATTAACACACAATGTAATGCAAACACAGCACAACCTGAATGCAGGAGCAGCTGCGTCATCGAGGTGAGAATGCATTTGGAAATATCACTGCAGGTTTCAACAAGTCAAATTAAGAGGAGGTGATGGAGCAGATTCAAGTGTCTGTGTGAGTTATCTGGAGCTGATCCTAACCAAATGGGCCTTAAATAAAAGGAAGCTTGTATTTTTTCGACTCCACACTGACAAACGTCCAAATCAACACTAAACTCCTGGCTGCTCTGTGGCAGTTAATGCAGCTGTAGTTAATTCTCACTGCGGCCTCAGGCAGCAGCAGCAGCAGCTTCGTTAAGTGTCTCTCGTTCAGAGACGTACGCCAAGTCTCCCATTGTTCTCTTTGACTGAATAAGTCCTGATGACAGTAATTGTGAAAATGAACTGAATGTGCACATTACATAGACTCTAAAGATGGACGTCCTGACAGCTCCTTCGAAAGTGAAGCCTCCAGATCGCTGGCTGCAGTTTAAGTCATAAATCCTCCATGTTCGCGGGTGGGACATGGACCAAACTAAAAAGTCAAAGTACACGTCAAACGTAAGAAGAGAAGAAGACAGCGATGTAGTGGAAGGATGGACACTGGGGGTAGAGTGGAGTTATATTTCTAAATGATTTAATATCGAACAGATGTAGGACGAGACAAGAAAGTTGCACCCGTTTCTTTTTTTCATCATTTATCTTCCTGCATATTTAGGTTGTTACATTAATTCACGAATAATGATCATATGATATAATACATATTAGTAAAAAGCCACAGGGGCATTTTTCATACTTTCGAAGCACTTTTCATGTTGTAAGTACATTTTCCTCATATCTACATACTTTTACTTTATTTTCAACACAGGACTTTTACTTTTATGTGCAAAATACTTTCTCCATATTCGCTCCTAACACAAGCAAGGATAGTATTTATTAATAATAAGAATGATTGTGATATTCTCAGATATCTCACTGTGAAACTCTCATCATGTTGCATCCTCAGTCTCTGTGTTAGACAGAGCTCTGTGCCACCATCATCAAAACGCCACATGAAGGAGTAATGGCGTTTCCTCCGTGCACCCGATCCCTGCAGCACAGCTCTACAGACCTAAACGATTTACATCAACGAGCATGGAGGCTGCACTGGAGGCTGTTCGCTTCATGTCACAGAAACACATGATCCTGTTACAAGAACAGCAGAAAGCTACTAATATTGATCGATGGTCAACATTTAATTTCATCCGTCATATATTTTTATGTGGATGACACTGTCCCGAGCGTTTGGCTCCTCTTCAGCTGAAACCATTTCAAGATTACAGTGTGTCTTTGTGTCTCTGAATGATGACAAGAGCCGTTCTTGCATCTCCCTGACGCCCGAGCACTTAATGGTACTTTAGTTGTAATTGTCCAATCTTAGAACTGCCTGGTAATTAGGAGCCTCACTTTGAGACAGCATGTGGATCCACTGCAGGTAGAAATGTGGTTTTGCTATGGTGATAAAGTAAGTTTCTGTCCATCATCATGTCTGTCTTAAACTACGGACATATCCTGTGATGCTCACTGTGTCTTAAAACAMTATATATATATATATATATATATATATATATATATATATATATATATCATGCTCATTATCATACTCATCTCTGTGTGCAATATAAAATTAGAATAACCCCCCTGCCGTCGCATGCCTCGGACTTTTCTCTCTGAGGTGATCCTGAGGTATCGTGTTAACGATGCACAAAACGTGTTGGTGAGGTCAGAGGAACCTTGACCTTTGACCTTCCACCACCAAAATGTAAACAGTTCGTCTTTGAGTCCAACTGAACGTTTGCACCAAATGTAGAGATTCTTTTATTTTCATGGTCTCCTCAAAAGCTGCCGCACTTTTAAAACCACTGCTCAACAGTGGTACAGGTACTTCAAACGGATTTACAGCAGATGTTAAAACTTCATCAACCTGATCCATTACTAGTGACCAACACATGTGCTCGACAGTCATAGAAGAGACGGACAACTTAATGCATTTAAGATAATAAAAACTACTTCATATATTTATCATGCAACAAACACCAAAGCAAATTCTTTGTATCTTGAAAACGAGACAAAGACGCCAGCGGGGAGAAAAAAATATTTTAAAGCTATTTCTCGAGTGAACAAAAGGCTCATGTAGCGCAACGGTTGCTGGAATCAACATTTCTGTCTTTTGATAACTTTCCTTTTTGTGATGAACATCAAGTCGTCCCCAGCTGCAGCTCTGTAGCTCTGCAGCTGGGATCTGCTGCGGTTTTGCTAATCTGGAAAATGCGATGTTTAGAACACAATAGGTAAATGATCAACTGTTGGCTCCCTGCACACCCAGAGGGATGAATCAAAAGCAACAGCATTTACAGTCCCCGGCTTTGTATTCATAACTGAATACAATAAGACACTGGCTTCAAACTCTGCATCCAAATGGAGCCACAAACAGCACATGGGCCATTAAAGAGTGAGCTGTAATGCCGCCCCTCCCTGGCATAGCAACATCTTTTGATTTATTATTGTGCTAAGCTCCTCACTGTACGCAGTCGCAGCCGTGCTGATGTATCCCTGGAGACACATTGCAATAAAATGAACTGCCATTGTTTTCCTGCAGAACTGTACAAATTGCCTCATCAAAGCCACAACATGGGTCCTCTACCTCTAGCCATTAATCAGTGGGAGAGACGTGGGCGCAACAGAATTCCTTTGCATTTTTTCCCGAGCTGAGACGAGCACCGGGCTGTCAAGTGCAGTTGTTTTTCCGAGAGGGAGAAAAGAAAATGAAGAAGCGGTGAAGTCGAGGCCTCACAAAGATTTACTCTCAGCCTCAGAGTGACAGCAGGTGACGCCCGGCTACTGTTCAACCCCGACCTGTGAGCCAAAGACTAAAAGACAGCAGGCTCACCGGCTCGTATTCGCCGGTGTTCAGAGTGACATTCTGCGATGGAAATCTCTGCTTCGCCGTCACCCTCGACTTGGAGCAGATCCATAAATGAGCGACACTGCTTTTGGAATAAATTAAAGATGCTGTGGGCAGAATTCTAATGACCGTGTTAACCTTTGCTAACAAAGTTCCACTGACATTCACTTTTCAAAGAGGGGCGAGGAGGGTGGCGCGCTGTAATTTCCACTTATGCCCAACTGATCTTTTAATAATTTCCTCCCCATGTGTTCAGAGTTTTTCATTTTTAATTGGGATGAGAGTCGTGAGGACCAGACACTTGAATTTCATTAAATTGCCAAATAAAAGATAATGAATCAACTCTAATTGTGTGTGTGGATCTTCAGTAGACGCAGATTAGTTCAAATCAATAATTTCCGAGCTTGTGTTTTCGCTGCGGTAAAGAGGGCGTGTGTGAGTTATGCAAAGAGCCGGTGACACAACAGGATTTCAGAGTTCGGCTCCGCTGCTCTTACACAACAGAGAGAAAGTGGGAGTCCCAGCCTGCGTGGTCAGATAACCTGAAAACACAATGTTCAGACAGGCTTAAAATGAAACTTCATGTGCAAACTGATGCAACGCTCACACACTACATTTACAATTCAGCCTCACACTGATTGAATTGTTGCTGTGTTTTACAAAGTCCATTCACAGTCTTTTCTGACTGAGGTTGTTTAAAAAATACATATATATATATGTATATATAAAAAAGACCAAACTCTGATGTGCACAGGTTGCATGAAACAACATAACAACATGCAACACAGGATCTTAAATGTATTTCTGCACATTCGCTTCCTTACATCTGAGGCCTTTAATTAAGTGCTGTACATACTGAGTCAGTGCATCTCAACATATGAGCCTCCAGCTGGTCGTCTTAACTGTGGAGAAGAGCTGGATGACAGGTCACACTCTCACACAGCCTGAGATCAACAATTATTTAACAGTAGAACACGATCACTCTGCAAAACTACATATATAAAGATCACTGAACATCCAATTTAAGAACAGCATCCATATTGTCAATAGCAATAACAAAGTACTGGTGTCCACAAGGACCAAACGACTGGCAGGGGAAAAAGTCTTCGCCTTATCTTGAACTCTAAAATGCTGCAGCAGAGTGTTTTCAAACTGGCTCCATCTCCGAACCTCAGCCTTTAAATCCTAGCTGCCACTCCAGCTACGATCACACACACACACACACACACACACTTAGAGCATTTCCCACCACTTCACTAAATATAAACTGTGCTGTGCATGCTGGAGATTTATGTCTGGGCCTGATTGCTGTCCGTTTCTCATAATTACTGTGTTACACTTGTTGCCCGCAGAGTGCGGCTCGTCTTCCGACGGGGGCTGTCGTCAGCTCACCTCTATCAACCGACGGTGCTGGGAAATCAGCCAGCGAGAGGGAGAATAATGGCGTTTGCATGCCAGCGTCTCACACCTCAATAAACAGGGGAAAATGAAAATGGGGAGGGCATCGTTCTGGCGTGATTGCAACAGATGGTGACCTCGTGCCTCAGAGAACTTGTGGAGGGAGCCAGCGAAAAAGGATGTTTGCATTTACTTGGCTGAAGCCTGATGTTCGTGGTCTGCGGCTGTCAAATTATCTTTTCATCAATTTGATCAAAA